TTTTTTTTTCTTACAAAAATAAATTTAGGCTTTTTTTTTAATAATATTTTTTTTTCTCCGTAGAAGTCTTTTTTTTTTTTTTTAAAGTTTTTGACTTGTAAACATCTTGAATCTTGCTTTTTTTTTTTTTAAATTAAGATAAAGTGAGCTCAAAGTACCCGTTCCATCGCAAAGTGCTAAGACTTCTTTGTTTTCTTATTTTTTTTTTTTTTTTATTATTTTTAAGCTTTTTTTTTTGGAATTTTTTTATTGCTTTTTTTTGTTTTTCTGCATTAAATAAACATCCATCTCTTCCCCCAGCCCCACCACTCACCCCACCCCCCAGCACACACTCCCCTCTCACTCCCTCTCCAAAATACATTCGGCCAAAACCTGCTCTTTGCTTTTTTTTTTCTTTTGAAAGTAAAAACACCAAAAGAAAAAGAAAAAAAGAAAAAAAAAAAAAAAAAGGAAAAAAAAACCAACAAAAAAATTAAAATAAAAGGAAGAGAATCTAAAAAGTGCTTTGAAAATAAAAGGGCTTAAAATCTCTCTGGTTTTTTACTTTTTTTTTTTCTTTTCTCTTTTTTTTTTTTAGCATTTAAAAATGTGCATTTAGAAAACAGGTGACCAACTCAAAGGTGCCTTTTCCCCCCGAGGGTCGGGACCCGCCTCTCCAGCCATAGAGCATCTCTAGATATATATTTATATATATTTTATTTTATTTTATTTTGGGAATGGGGCTGGGGGGGGGCCAAGGCTGCTCCCCCTCCCCAAAGGCCTCCTGCTCCTTTAGGGGAGACCCCAAAGAATCTTTTTGCCAAAGGGATTTGGAGGCGTTTTTGGGGCAGCGGGAGGGAAAAATTCCCTGGGGGGGTTGGGGGGAAAAAATTCCCTGGGTGGGGAGGGAAGAAAAATTCCCTGGGGGGGTGAGGGGAGAGGATTTGGGATCCCCCAGCCCCAAATTCTGCCGGCAGCGGGGGCTGGGCTGACTCAGGCACTTCCTGGGCACCGCGGGGTGGGGACGGATGTGGGGACATGGGGGGGGACAGGGATGGACAGAGGGATGGACAGAGGGATGGACAGGGAGGGACAGAGGGATGGACAGGGAGGGACATGGGGAGGGACATGGGGAGGGACAGGGAGGGACAGAGGGACAGAGGGATAGACAGAGGGACAGAGGGACAGAGGGATAGACAGAGGGATGGACAGGGGGATGGACAGGGAGGGACATGGGGAGGGACAGGGAGGGACAGAAGGACAGAGGGATGGACAGAGGGATAGACAGAGGGACAGAGGGATGGACAGGGAGGGACAGGGATGGACGGGAGAGACAGGGATGGACGGGAGATGGACAGAGGGAGGGACAGAGGGATGGACGGGAGATGGACAGAGGGACGGACAGAGGGATGGACAGAGGGACGGACAGAGGGATGGACAGAGGGACGGACAGAGGGACGGACACAGAATCCAGCCCTGCTGTCCCCAGCCCTGTCCCCACGTCGTGTCCCCAGCCCCGGGTGCCCGACACAAACCCTGCCGAACCTGCTGCCCTCTCTCACATGATTTTTGTTTTTTTTAGGCAATTTTTTCCAGCAATTTTTTCCCCACCCGGAGCCCTCGCTGCCCGACTGAGCCTGGCGGGGGCTGGGGGGACAGACCCCAAATCCTGACCCCGATCTCCTGGCAAGGAGCCCCCGACCCCCAAATCCCAAACCCCGCCCTGCCACAGCCCTTCCAACTCCTACCACTCCTTTTTTTTTTTTCTATTTTTTCCTTTTTTTTTTTTCTTAAATAGATCTCTCTCTGAAATAACTTTTTTTTTTTTTTTTTTTTTTTTTTTTTTTTTTTTTTTTGGTTGGTTTTGGGTTTTTTTTTTTTTTTTTTTTTTTTGGTAGGGTTCTTTTCTTTTTTTTTTTTTTTTTTTTTAAACATGTGTTTGGACACAAAATAAAGCTTTGGATTTACATGGAAGCTCTTTTCCATGCGACAGAGCCACTTTCCATCCCCACCTCGTGCTTCCCTAGCGTCCTTGCCTTTCCAAAAAAAGGTCCTTGGCTATGAGGGATCCTCGGGGGAGAGCCCCGCTTACGATGGGAAGATTGGAAAACGTTAATATAATATCTCTCTTTTTTTTTTTTTTTTTTTTTTTTTTGTTGGTTTTTTTTTTTTTGGTTTTTTTTTTTTTTTTTTTTTGATGTGGGGACATGGGGGGGGACAGGGATGGACAGAGGGATGGACAGAGGGATGGACAGAGGGATGGACAGAGGGATGGACAGGGGGATGGACAGGGGGATGGACAGGGGGATGGACAGAGAGGGACAGAGGGATGGACAGGGAGGGACAGGGAGGGACAGAGGGAGGGACAGAGGGACGGACAGAGGGACGGACACAGAATCCAGCCCTGCTGTCCCCAGCCCTGCTGTCCCCACGTCGTGTCCCCAGCCCCGGGTGCCCGACACAAACCCTGCCGAACCTGCTGCCCTCTCTCACATGATTTTTGTTTTTTTTAGGCAATTTTTTCCAGCAATTTTTTCCCCACCCGGAGCCCTCGCTGCCCGACTGAGCCTGGCGGGGGCTGGGGGGACAGACCCCAAAAATTTTCTTTTATAAAATCTTTTTTTTTTTTTTTTTTTTTTTTTTTTTTTTTTTTTTAAACATGTGTTTGGACACAAAATAAAGCTTTGGATTTACATGGAAGCTCTTTTCCATGCGACAGAGCCACTTTCCATCCCCACCTCGTGCTTCCCTAGCGTCCTTGCCTTTCCAAAAAAAGGTCCTTGGCTATGAGGGATCCTCGGGGGAGAGCCCCGCTTACGATGGGAAGATTGGAAAACGTTAATATAATTTTTTTTGTTGTTGTTGTTTGTTTTTTCCTTAAAAAAAAGGGAGAGAAACATCTTTTAAAGAGAAAAATCGGAGGAAAAGTACTAACTAGATTTTGTGACTTTGTTTTTCAGGTGGTTGTTTCGTTTCATCGGTCAGGGTTGGTTTGCTGTTATGTTTTTTTGGTTTAGGAGAGTCCTTGCGCGTTACCCTCATCCGACCCTCCTGCTACATTCAATCCCGGCGCTTCGTTATTGGAATTCTCCTCAAAGTGCTGCTCCTCCTGCTGCTGCTGCTGCTGCTGCTGCTCCGTGTCCTCGGGCTCGGCGGCGCAGCTCCCGTCCTCGGCGCTGCCCGTGGGCGTGGGGGGCATGGCCCCGGCCTCCCTGACCCTGGGCTTGCGGCCCCTCCGCGACGGGATCCCGTTGCATCCATCTTTTTTAAGGTGCCTGTGCAGGTGGTCGGAGCGGACGAAAGTCTTGCAGCAGCTGTCGCACTGGTACGGCCGCAGCCCCGTGTGCACCCGCATGTGGTTCTTCAAGTCGTAGTTGTGGGCGAAGGCGGCCCCGCACTGCTGGCACAGGTAGGGCTTCTCGCCCGTGTGCTTCCGCATGTGCACCTTCAGCTTGTCCTGCCTGCGGGGACAAAGGGGCGTCAGGGATTTGTGGAATGGGAGCAGGGTTCTCATCCCAAAGAATGGGAGCAGGATGGAAAAGGACGAGGTGGCACTGCCCCACCAACTCCCCCTCCCCAAAATCCTCATCTGGCAGTGCCAGCAGTTGCCTGGGACCCTGTGGCATTTCCAGGTCCTGCAGTGCCCTGGATGGTGCACAGGGGGTGGGATCACTGTGGGATCGCTGCGGGATCGCTGTGGGATCACGGTGGGATCATTGTGGGGTCGCTGTGGGATCACTGCAGGATTGCTGCAGGATCATGGTGGGATCGCTGTGGGATCATGGTGGGATCGTGTGGGGTCGCTGTGGGATCACTGCAGGATTGCTGCAGGATCATGGTGGGATCATGGTGGGATCGCTGTGGGATCGCTGTGGGATCACTGCGGGATCAGCCCCAGCCCCCGGAGCAGGGAGGTGCCGCGTGGCAGGGCCGGGGGAGCGGGGAGGGAGGGCTGGCACCCTGCCCCTGCCATTATCTGCATTCCTCAGCTCTGCAGCGTGGGCTGGGCGCGGCCCGGACCAGGGGAAGGGGCAGGACACGGCCTCTGCCCCTCCGGCTGCACCCCGCTGCCCAGGCAGCCCACAGGGAGCCCACAGGGATCCCACATGGATCTCACAGGGATCCCACACGGATCTCACAGGGATCCCACACGGATCTCACAGGGATCCCACACGGAGCCCACAGGGATCCCACATGGATCTCACAGGGATCCTACATGGAGCCCACAGGGATCCCACATGGATCTCACAGGGATCCCACATGGATCCTACACAGAGCCCAAAGGGATCCGACACGAAGCAGCCCCATGGGATGGAGCCCCCAAAGCACCCGGGGCCTGGAAGGGACGGCCTGGGCTGTGGGAAGGGGCACAGGGGGAACATCTGGGCAGGCAGGGAAAGGGAAAAGGAGCAGGGAAAGGGAGCAAGGAAAGGGAAGGGAAAAGGAACAGAGAGAAGGAAAAGGTAAGGGAAAGGGAAGAGAGCAGGGAAAGGGAAGGAAGCAGGCAGGGAAAGAGAAGGGAAATGGAGCAGGGCAAGGGAAGAGAAAAAGAGCAGGGAAAGGGAAGAGAAAGGGAGCGGCGAAAAGCAGGCAAAGGGCAGAGAGCAAGCAGGGAAAAGTAAAGGGAGCAGGGAAAGGGAAAGAGAAGGGAAAAGGAGCAGGGCAAGGGAGGGGAGCAGCCCCCAGGCCCAGCACAGAGCAGGCAGGGAACAGGCAGGGAAAGGGAAGGGAAAGGGAGCAGGGTAAGGAAAGGAAAGGGAAGAAGCAGGGAAAGTGAGCAGGGCAAGGGAGGGGAGCAGGGAAAGGGAAAGAGAAGGGAAAGGGAGCAGGGCAAGGGAGGGGAGCAGGGAAAGGGAAAGAGAAGGGAAAGGGAGCAGGGCAAGGGAGGGGAGCAGGGAAAGGGAAAGAGAAGGGAAAGGGAGCAGGGCAAGGGAGGGGAGCAGGGAAAGGGAAAGAGAAGGGAAAGGGAGCAGGGCAAGGGAGGGGAGCAGCCCCCAGGCCCGGGCAGCCCACGCTGCCCCTCGCTCCAGGCTGGGACCCCCGGCCCGGCCCGGCCGCAGCGCCCGGGCAGAGGAGGCGGCGCCGGCCGCGGACTGGAGTGAACCGGAGCAACCCAAACAATATCCCCTTTCTTTGGTGCTCCCGTGGCCCAGGCAGGGAGCAGAGCAGCCCTGATTAGGAACGGGGCCGTGGCAAACGCCCCCGGGAGCTGCACCAGGGCTGCAGAGCTCGGTCTGCCAAGGACACGAGTGGGCTCCAACCTCCTTCCAACCCAAGCACCTCAGCCACGCCACGCCCAAACGATTCCCCTGCTCCTGCCTCGGCCACCATGGACAGACCAAGAGCTGCAGCTCTGTTTCCCCCTCATGCTGGGTTTCCAGCAGAGCTCAGCAAGTCAGGACAGCAGGATGGTGGCACTGGCCATCGAGTCAGGCCCCTTGAGATAGCTCAAGTGTCACATCCCCAAACTGCTCCCTGGAAAACTTTGGCCTCCAGCCACAACTCGCCAGTTAGGATGGAAATGAGCTGAACAGAGAGATAAAATCACCCAGGACCAGCCCCGTGCTGGCTCCCAGGTTGAGGGGTGGGCTGGGTTTGTGTGCAGCCCCCAGGTTTGTGTGCAGACCCAGGTCTGGTACAGCCCCAGGGTTTGTGTGCAGACTCTGGATTTGTGCGCAGGCCCAGGTTTGGAACAGCCCCAGGTTTGGGTGCAGTGCCTGAGTCTGTGTGCAGCCCCTGGGTTTGGTACAGCCCCAGGGTTTGTGTGCAGACTCTGGATTTGTGCGCAGGCCCAGGTGTGGCACAGCCCCAGGTGTGGCACAGCCCCTGGGTTTGGTACAGTCCCAGGTTTGTGTGCAGACTCTGGATTTGTGCGCAGCCCCAGGTGTGGCACAGCCCCGGGTTTGGCACAGCCCCTGGGTTTGGTACAGTCCCAGGTTTGGTACAGCCCCAGGGTTTGTGTGCAGACTCTGGATTTGTGCGCAGGCCCAGGTTTGGTACAGCCCCAGGTATGGGTGCAGTGCTTGAGTCTGTGTGCAGCCCCTGGGTTTGGTACAGCCCCAGGTTTGGCACAGCCCCAGGTGTGGCACAGCCCCCGTGCCCGGCCCGTACCTGGTGAATCGGACGTTGCAGATGTTGCACTCGTAGGGCTTCTCCCCGGTGTGGGTGCGGATGTGGCGCGGCAGCTTCCCGGCGCCCTGGATCACCTTCTCACAGATGGGGCACTTCTGGAATGCTTTCGCCCTGATCTTCTTCTCCACCTTCTGGGACCAGGACGGGTACACGTCGCCCTCGCTGGAACTGCCAAAATATTTCAAGTAATAATCCATGACCCCGTCCTCGTCCTTGCGGTCGTCGTCGCCGAGCTGCTGCCGCCCCACCGAGTTGATCATCTGCTGGAGCAGGGCGCTGGCGGCCAGGTCATCCACCTCCCTGGCATCGTCCTCCGTCTCCGTGCCCGTGGGGATGAAGCTGGGCGAGTCCCCGGCTTCCTGCGGGTCCAGAGGGCCCCTGGGGGTGCCCCCCTCCTCTTCTCCCGGGGTGGCCAAGCCACGGCTGCTGTAATGTCCGTTCTGGGAAGGGGAGAACATCCCGCCGCTGACCGGCTCCTCGTCCTCGCGGTCCAGCCACATGGCCGGGTTGCTGTCGGGGTCACAGTCACTTGCCTTTGGTCTTTCGGTTGGGGTGGCTTGCGAGTAGAAGTCCAGGCCATTGCAGTTCGACTCCTCCTCCTCCTCTTGGCCTCGGAAGTTCAGTCTCTGAAGGTCTCTCAACTCTGGGTTGGTCCACGGAAAGCTGCCTTGGTGGCCGTTCACGGGGTTGCTCTGGAAGAACTCCAGGTACTCTTTTGCTCTGAGATGGTTCCTCTGATCAATTTGATCTACTGTATCCATCTGGTCATTTTTGGCCAGAATCTTCCTCTCCAGGAGATCCGTGCAGACATCCCTGACGGCCGGGATCTCCAGCAGCGTGGCGGCGTTGAGGATGTCGTTGACGTTGGAAGTGCTGACGGTGAGGGTCGCGGTGTAGGCGAACTCCAGCAGCGCCGACAGGGCGTCCGCACTCACAAAGTCTATCTCATACACGTTCTGCTGGTCCACCACTAACCCTGAGGTGAAGAGCTTCTTGAAGTACTGGCTGCACGCTGCCAGGACGGAGCGGTGGGTGGGGAACTCCTGGCCTTCCACCAGGATGACCACGTCGCACAGCAGCCCGTTGTTCCTCTGCTCATTCAGGCTGCTGAGGATGTCGCTGCTGTGATCTGGGAACGGGATCCCTATGGGGCCGTCCACGCCACCCGCCATCTTCCACGCTAAAGGCTGCGGGGAAGGAGGGGAAGGCCGTGAGTCAGAGCTTGGAGACATCGGGAGAATCCCCAAATTCCTGAGGGACGCGCCCGGCAGCAGCGCGCGCGTGTCCCCTGCGCCTCTCCCATCGTCCTGCCCGGCCTGTGCTTACCTGGGGAGGAGGAGGAGGAGGAGGAACAGAGCCCAGGTGCTCTCGAGTGAGAACAGCTGAATTAGCGCGGATCCGGGCCAGAGCAGCAAGCCTTGGCAGGGAGCTGGCATCAGCCAGCCAGGCAGCACCTGGAGCGGGCACAGCTGTGCCCAGCGTGGGGCTGGGGCAGCCTCAGCCTCCCCAGCGCATCCCAGTCCACCTCTGGGAGCATCTCCCATTCCCATTCCTGCTGGGAAGGTCCCCAGCTCGCCGAGAGCAGCCAACACAATGATGTCATCCCCGGCAGCACCATTCCCATCCCTCATCCCTGGGTGCCAGCACACCTGGAGAGATGTGGGCAGGGAATATCCTCTGGGAAGGGCAGGGAGAGGGGAGCCCCAGCCTCCCCAAGCTGCTGCTGCAGGTGTTTGACAGAGCAGAGCTGATCCCTGGAAGCTGAGGCAGCTCCTGCTCCTTCCTGGGAGCAGGAAAGGACACTGGGATCACCAAGTGCCAGCACCAAACCCAGATCCTGGACAGGTTCCAGCAGAAGCAGCAGCTCTTCCCAATGCCAAGGGTTTGTTTGGGACAAGATAAATAAATAAAGTCACTCCTGACACATCCACTTGACTCCAAAGGCTGGAAAAACCCAGCCTTTGCTGGGAAATGGGCACTGGGGCCCGACTGCGAGCCTGAGCAGCCCCTAATTCTCCCACAATCCCAGTCTTCTGATCCCAAAAATTAGGAATAACATTTCCCTCCTGTCCATCTCACGCAGCAAATCCACATGCTCCTTGAAGCAGCAATGCCTTTGCTGGAAAATCAATGTAATTCCCCCCATCCCAAGCCCTGGGACCAGCAGGAGCCAAGAAATCCACACACAAACCAGTCCAAAAATCACCCTGGCACAAGGCTGGAGTACCCAAGTTCCTGATTTCCAGATGGGGAAACTGAGGCACGGCAGGACGTGGGCTGTCCCACGCCATGGGGGGACGGATGAGTCAGGATGGATCCAGAACAGCAATAATTATTCAGGAAGCAACTCCCAGCCCCGGGTCCCAGCACGGAGCAGGAGCCCAGGTTGCACAACTCCGACTTCCCCCACCCACCCCCGGCCTCCTCAGTAGTTTTCCATATTTACTTATTTTTGAAAAGTTTTGTTAAGCCCAGAAAATAAGTTTAACTTTGGCACCTCCCTGTTTTATACAGAGAAAAGGCAGGAGAAGGCAGGTCTGAGGCTGTGGAAAAGGGATCTGGAGCAAATCCCAGGATCATCAAGAGCAGGAGGACACCAGCGTTCGGCTCCCGGCAGGAACGGGATGGGGCTGAGGAGGGGGGAGGACTCAGGGGGGCTGCTTGTGCAGGGCAGGCACCAGTCCTGCCACCAAGACCAAGCTTTGGGAAGCCAGGTGGCTTCCTGAGACACCCGGGATCAACTCCAGAGCCACCTCCTGAGCTCCAAGCTTTGACCTTTAAACCCTCATTTCGTGGGTTTTTTACATCAGGAGGAAAGGGCTGCTCGGTGGCACTGCTCTGTCCTCAGCCCCAGCTCCAGGTGTGACCTTGGGCAAGGTCACCCCGTGCCAGCATCCCCAGGGGATCCCAGGGAATCCTGAGCTGGGATTCCAGGGAGGCTTTGCTGCCTCAGCACCGCGTGTCCCATTCCCACCGGGACAGCTCCAGGGCTCCCCAAAACCTGACTGGGGCCACCAAACCCAGGAAAGCAGATCCCACATCCCTGCCAGCCCCAAAACCAGCACTGCAGCTTCCCCCTCTCCTTCCTCTCTACGAGAGATGCTTTACAAGTTTTTTTTTTCTCCCAAAACCAGTGAATTGGAGCTGCATGCAGCGTTTGGAAGCTCCGGGCAGGGGTCCTGCGTGTGTCCCCCACACCCCCCGGCTCTGGGGACCACGGCGAGCAGCCAGAGCACCCCGGCAAGGTGACCCCCCCCAGCCCGGGGGCCGGGACAATCATCCCGACAGTGTGGGAATGGCTGCAGGGTCATGAGACTGCCGAGGGAGGCCTGGAGCCCGCTCCAACTCGGCCACCCCGCACACAACACGGCCTTTGTGTCCCACGGCCGCGGTGGCCGAGGACAGCGGGGGCAAAGGGGGCGTCCCGAGCCCCCCAGGAATGGATTCAGGGCCTGGATGCTCCAGCCACATCCAGAGATTGAGTTCTTAAAGCATCACCCCCGTTCCCTTTCCGAAGGGATGAACAGCTTAGGAATTGCCAATGGGAAACGGGGCGTTCCGAAGTCTGGATTTGGGGTTTTGGGAACTTCTTGAGTCTTCGTAAGGTGGGTGACTCAAAAGAAGTTCCAAGCATCCCTAATCCACTGCTTGCTCATGGCACCAGGGCTCAAGGCCACGGTGGAATGGGCAAAATCCACTTGGGAATGTGCTGAAGCCAGGTGACGAGTGACAAAAGCCACTGGCACAACCACAGCTCGTCCCTGCCTGGCAAGGAAAGGTCTGGATGGGCCACCAAGGGGGAGCTTCAGCTACTGACCCCAATTTCCCAGCAGCTCCAGTCTCTCCCTGCCTGCCCAGGAGTTCCAGGTCCCAGTTCCAGACTGGGTGGCTCTGCAGGGCTGAGGTGCCACATTTCACCCCAAAAGTGGCTGAGGGGGAGAAGTTTGGGAATGGCCCTCGCAGACAACTGAGAGGGAACCATGGAGGTGGAACACAGCCCGTGAGGAAGAGGGGTTGGAGCAACAGCAGAGCCCTCCAGGTGATTTAAGAACATTACTGACAGACCTGGTGGGACACCCTGTGCAGCCCCAACCCCACTCTCGGCCCCCTCAGCACTTCCAAAATCCCAACACAACGGAGCTGTGGCTATTCCAGCTCCACAAGCCAGCCCAGCACACACAGGCAGGAGAAATGTCATTTTTTGGGTGGTGAACGGGGGTGAGGGAAGTTCTCCACCTCCCCGAGCTGATGTTCTACACCCAGCTGATTCCCCATCGCCTTTGGACACTGCTCCTCCACACTGAAATGGAATTCCTGAGGTTGGAAAAGCCCTCCAGGATCGCTGAGTCCCAGCTGTGCCCAATCCCCACCTTGTCCCCAGCCCAGTGCCACCTCCAGCCTGTCCTGGGACACCTCCAGGGAAGGGGACTCCCTGGGCAGCCCCTGCCAATGTCTAATCATTCTCTCCATGCAGAAATTGTCCCAATATCCAAGCTGAACCCGCCCTGGTGCAACTCAAGGCTGTTCCCTCTTGTCCCGCTGTCCCCTGGGAGCAGAACCTGACCCCCCCTGGCTGCCCCCCCAGCCAGGGAGTTGTGCAGAGCCAGAAGGTCACTCCTGAGCCTCCTCAGCTCCCTCAGATGTTTTCCAGACTCTTCCCAGCTCCATTCCCTTCTCTGGGCTCACTCCAGCCCCTGTGTCCTTCTCACAGTGAGGGGCCAGACCAGGACACCCGAGCTCTGACCTCAGCACTGCGATTTTATTTTCTTTTTTTAAACTCAATTTCTCACCCCTCTCCTCCCAGACCCCAGCAGCACCCAGAGCTCACTGAAACCCCTGAGCTCGTGCTTCCCTCAGCAGGATGTCACCCAATCCCTCTCCTCCAGGAGCTCTGGAATTTGACATTTACATTCAAATGAGACGACCACATCAAGATGGGATCCCAACCAAAAGTGCTGACAAAACACCTCTTTAATTACCAGTTTTCCACAGAACCTCAGTGGGTTTTTTTGTTTTTTTGGGTTTTTTTTCCTTTTCCCTTCACTTCTTTGCCTTAAAATTTAGAGGAAGCTGAGCAGTTTGGGAGGGCTCAGGAATACACAGCTGGAAGAGCTTGGGCACACCTGGGGAACAGGGAACAGCCAATGTTCTCTGTGTGCTCTAACCCGGAAAAGATCCCAAAACCCTTTCCAAAGGCAGGGGTGCCACCCTCTGCAGCAGCACAGGTGAGAACTTGAGCAACACCTGGCACCTGCTCGGGGCAGGAAGGGAGAATCAGCATCACCCTTCCCATGGAGCACGAGGCAAAGCGGCTTCAGGGAATTCTGTGATCCACACAGCAACATTTGCTGGGAAGAACTGAGCTCTGGGAGATGCCTGTGGATGTTGAGTCTGTAGGATGGACAGGGACTTTGGACACGAGTGTGGAGTGACAGGGAGGAGGGAATGGATTCAAACTGGCAGGGCAGGGTGAGATGGGATGTTGGGAAGGAATTCCCAGAGCAGCTGTGGCTGCCCCTGGATCCCTGGAAGTGTCCAAGACCAGGCTGGAGCACCCTGGGATACTGGAGGATGGCCCTGCCCATGGCAGCAATATTTAAGGTATATCCAACCCAAACCATTCTGGAATTTGGGATACACAGCCCCTTGCTCAAGATGCCCAAGGATCCCAAGCTGCTTTGGGATTTCTTGGAGCAAACACAACCGAGGCAAGGCAGCCTCGACAGCAGCACCAGGGAGGAATTATTAAAATAACGATGCTTTACACAAAAAAAAAAAAACACCCCAGGGGCTGCTGCCCGAGGCCCAAACAGGATCCCAGCACTCCCAAAAACAGGCATCTTCCCCTAGGAACAGCTCACACCCCACACATCCTCACCTGTCCCTGTTTAGGGACAAACCACCCCAGTGCCCTGTCCCTCTCCCAGCTGCAGGGACAGCTCTGCCAGCCTGGCTGCAGGCAGCCCTGTGGCCACGGGGAGCAGCAGGCAGTGCCTGTGCTGACACCAGCCCAGGACAGGCCCCAGCAGGTCTCCCTCTGCCCAGGATCCACCCAAAACTGCGCCAGGGCCTCGGGACACACACCTTGCACGGGGAGCTGGAGCACGGCAGGCAGCAGGGAGGGAAGGAGGTGTTTTGCCTGCTTGGGAGAATCACAATTCCAACCACTCCACTGAGCCGTGGAAACTCAACTGCTCCCAACAAGGAAATGGGCTGTCAGTGCTTTAGGGCCAAGCTATCCCAATTATTTGGACATGGAGAACCAGCTGGATGTTCCTGAGAGGAAGACCCTGAACATCAACAGAAGGAATTGCACTGTGGGAAAAAATCAAGATTAAAAGAAACCCCTCAGCCTGCTTTTATCTTAAATAAAACTGCATTTTCAATGCTGCAGTGGGAAGAAATCCTTGGTCTTGAGAAGGCAATGGCAAAGAGTCAATTCCAGCTTTCTTCTGTCCTGCCTGGACATCCCATCTGGGGTAACATGACCAAGATCATGCAGCTCTTGAAGTGAAGAGATTGGAGCAGAACCAGCGCCCTGCAAATATCTGTGGGCTGGTTTGGACAATCTGGCTCTGTTTTCCCAGCATGGGCATCCATCCCCTCCAGCCCCTGCCCAGCTCTTAACAGGGAAAAACAACCACAGCTCTGGATTTGGGATGTGAGGAATGAGGAACGAGACTGAACCACATAAGGAGGGTTCAGCTGGCTCCCAAAGAGGCTCCAGATCACAGCCCTGACCAAAGCCTGCTCCAGGGGTTCCTCAGAGGGGTTGCATTGTTCTGGTCCTTCCAAAGATCAGAGCATCCCACTCCCTGTAGGTCCTTTGGATGCTGGAATGCTGCTGCAAGAGCTCTGGAGAGCTTCCAGTGCCCAAAGGGGCTCCAAGAGAGATGGGGAGGGACATGGAGTGACAGGACAAGGGGGGATGGATTCAAACAGAGCAGGTTTAGACGGGATGTTGGGAAGGAATTCTTCCCTGTGAGGGTGGGGAGGGACTGGAATGGAATTCCAAGAGAAGCTGTGGCTGCTCCATCCCTGGCAGTGCCCAAGGCCAGGCTGGACAGGGCTTGGAGCACCTGGGACAATGGAAGGTGACTCTGCCATGGCAGGGGTGGCACTGGATGGGCTTTAAGGTCCCTTCCACCCAAACCACTCTGTGACGAGTCAAAGACTCAAATTCAAGGTGAAGAGGAAGAAGATCTGAGATGCTCTGAGAGCTCCTGGGCCCCAGCAGCCTCCCCTGCCTCAGCCCAACCCGACAGCTCGCGGTGTGACCACGCAACCAAAACAGCCGGGCTGACCCTGCCAGGTCCGACCTGCCGGGGAGGTTTTCCCCTCCCTGCTCCAGAAGGATGTGCCCGGGCAGCACAGGAAGCTCCAGCACAGCCACCCCCCACTCCTACAGCCCTTTCACACCGAGCAGCTGCGCCAAGGAAAGGAAATCTGCCCCAAATCCTGCAGATCCTGGATCGACACATCCCCGAAATCCCAGAATCCCAGGCTGGCGTGGGTTGGGAGGGACCCTGAAGCTCATCCTGCTCCATCCCATGGGCAGGGACACCTTCCAGTATCCCAGGGTGCTCCAGCCTGGCCTTGGACACTTCCAGGGATGGGCAAGCACAGCTTCTCTGGGAATTCCATCTCAGGGTCTCCCCACCCTCCCAGGGAGGAATTCCTTCCTGAGATCCCATCTATCCCTGCCCTCATTTTGAAGCCATTCCCCCTTCCCCTGGCACTCCAGACCCTTGTGTAGGGAAGAGCCAAAGCTCTCCAAGAGTCATTAATGCCCAGGGAAGAAGCAGCTAAAGCACCTGGCAGGAACAGCCAGGACACACCAGGGGGCTCAGGCAGGAAAGGAGAATCCCACATCCTGCAGCTTCTGGCAGGAAGAGCAACTGCTCCCACTGAAATCTGGACAGGGCACTGGATCTGAACATCCCTCAGACCCCCCACGAGCATCCCAGGAACTTGGATGGAATAAAGACCCATTAAAGCAGGAACCATGGTTGGGCTGGAGGCCTGGGATTCCTCATCACCGACAGGGAATTGTTGGGAATGCTGCTGTGGAGCCACCAGGAAGAAAGGGACTTGTTCCTCTTGGTTTTCCCAAACTGCCTGAACTGCTGGCCCAGACGAGGCTGGACAAGCCAGCTGTGGAATTGTTCCAGTGGAAGGACAAGTGCCACCAAGAACAGGTTCACTCTGACCCATCCCAAAGGCCTGGGCAAGACTCTGCATCTCCCAGGAAACTCGATGGTGCTCCCAGAGACAGCTCCCTCTCCAAGGATTCACCTCCACAGCCCAGGCAGTGAGGGATGACCCCATGCCACACTGCACAGCTCCCTGGGATGCTGCTGGGATGGGATTTCCTCGCAGGGCACAGCACAGCTCCTGGGAAACTTCCATTTCCAGCTGCTGGCCAAAGGCAGGACGTGGACCCCGATGGACAACGGTCAAGTGGCCAAACGCTGGTGCTGTTCCAGAGGATCCCAAAGCTGCAGCTGAGGCACAGAGCCTCCCTGAGCTGCCACCCTCAGCCCTGACAGCACCAAACTGCTCTCATGTTGCAAGGTGAGCCTGAACTGGTTCCTCCACCCAGCCCTCCTTGCCAATTTTCTCCTTTGTCATCAGAGGCCGGATTTAATCCGGCAGGAATGTGCCTTGGTTTGAGCCCGGGGAGTCTCCCACCCGAGCTCTGTGTGTGAGGGTTATTTTGGGGTGAGAAGCTCCTCCATCCCCAGCGCTGTCACTCTGCCTCAACACAAAACTCCACGGCAGCAACTCCGTGTGCTGGGATCGTCCCCAACAGCACCAACAGGAATTTCCCTGCACTGAGACAAAACAAACCTCAAACTGCTGAGAGCTGCTCCAAGACCCTCAATCCCTGCTCCAAACCCACCTCTGTTCCAGCAACTCCCAATCCTCAGGCTAAGCTGAGTCCATCTAAGCTCAGCCCAGAGCCCAGGAAGGTCAGATACCCTGGAACTCAAGGAAATTCGGTTTTGCTGCTCAAACAAACCCCTTCCACCCAAATGTGCCCACTCTGCTGCAGTCCTGGCCCTCCAACAGGTTCTCTCCCACGTGGCTCCTGTGGGAAAGCTCTCCAGTTTTGGGAGGGTCTGGACAACACCAGGCCGTGGCTGAGCCAGCCACAGTTCTCCAAAAGACTTCAGAAAGTCTCAGGAGTTGCACAGAAAAAGGGGAAGAAGTGCACAAAGCACGAGGCTGAGTGTGCTGCAGTGCTGGCTGCAGGAGCAGCTCTCTCCCAGGAGAGTTATTTTCCAACCTGGGAGCCCCGGGAGCCTGGAGGCACCGGGATCCAGGCAGGAATAAGGAACTGCTTTCCAAAAAGGCAACGTGGGGCCCCTTTGCAAGGGAGCAATTGAGGACTCGAAGCTTTAACCCCCGGCACGGCCCAGCTGCTCCAGGTTGGAGGAAAATCAGAGCAGCTCATGCTTGGACATCGCCTCCCCTTCAGAGGCCAAAGCCTGTCCCCACCCCAGCCAAAATCCCCCCAAAGTCACTCCAGTGTTTCCTTGAGAAAAACCAAGCCCATCTGCCCCTTCACCCCACATTTCCCCTTTCCTGTCACAGCCCTCTGAACTGAAGAGAACCATAAAAACTGCTCAAATCCCAAATCCCCCATCCCACAGGTCTCAGACAGCATTCACCCTTCACTCCATGTTCCCCAGCCCTGTCACATCTCTCCTGACTCTTAAACACAGAGCCCTAAAAATTGCTCAAACCCCAAATCCCCCCATTGCCCTGTTTGCTGCAGGAGCCCCCAAGCACCCATCC